GTTCCCTCGTCCACTACCCCACATAAAGAACAACTGTCACCTCCATTATCACGCTACACACCACCACCACTATTATAAACTTCCCACCACCACATATGAAACAAACCACTATCACCACCCTTATGACGCTACCCACCACCACCTACACCACATAAACAATCACTATCACCACCATTATCACGCTACCCACCACCACCTGTACCACATAAACAATCACCTATCACCACCATTATCACGCTACCCACCACCACCACCTGTACCACATAAACAATCACTTATCACCACCATTATCACGCTAACCACCACCACCACCTGTACCACATAAACAATCACTTATCACCACCATTATCACGCTACCCACCACCACCACCTTAAACAATCACTTATCACCACCATTATCACGCTACCCACCACCACCACCACCACCTGTACCACATAAACAATCACTTATCACCACCATTATCACGCTAACCACCACCACCACCTGTACCACATAAACAATCACTTATCACCACCATTATCACGCTACCCACCACCACCACTACCTGTACCACATAAACAATCACTTATCACCACCATTATCACGCTACCCACCACCACCACTACCTGTACCACATAAACAATCACTTATCACCACCATTATCACGCTACCCACCACCACCTGTACCACATAAACAATCACTATCACCACCCTTATGACGCTACCCACCACCACCTACACCACATTAACAATCACTGTCACCACCCTTATGACGCTACCCACCACCACCTACACCACATAAATAATCAGTCACCACCATTATCACGCTACCCACCATGACACATCCAGTAATCACATCTCTGTCCTGCGTGGCAGTGAGAAGTGATACCACCCTCAGTGTCAAGACCTGACTGAATTACTCAGAATAGGCAAACTGTACTACAAGCTCTGCCAATAAATTTGTTAAACTAAAAATCACCAACAGATACAAAAATAAATAAAAAAACGTAAAGTGGGTTAATCTCCTTATCTTACTGCCCAGTACTCGCCAACAGTGCGTAACGAGACGGGACTGATCGCCCAAGCGATGAAAATTATAAAAGTAAAGTACAGTGTAGGTAAAATTTTTGTAGATTACAGTGGTTCGCCTGACTTGGGAGGGGGGAGGGTGCTTAGGAAGGGTACATTAGGTTAGGTAAGACTCGGTTAGGTTAGGAAAGACTCGGTTAGGTTAGGCAAGACTCGGTTAGGTTAGGTAAGACTTGGTAAGTTTAGTCTAGATACTATTAGGTTATTGTAGGTTAGTGCAAGATTGTTAGGTTAGGTTAAGCTAGGTTAGGTTACATTACGTTGTCAACTGAGGGGGCGATTTTTCCTTGATCCTTTACTGTAAAGTTATAAACGTCTGTGATACTTATTGTGTGGGCGGTGTGAGAGACGAAAGTCACTGAGTTGGATGTGTTGTTCTTGCTTAATTAAAGGCTGGAGGTGTTCTATGTTTGTGGGCCTTACACACCATGAGCCAAAACTTTGCACGGTTGTCGGGAAGAAGTTGTTTGAGCGTCTCTCTTTCTCTCTCTCTCTTTCTCTCTCTTTCTCTTTCCGGAGGAGGAGTAGGTGGTGAGTTAAACGGTGGTATTTCCTGATGATTTAGATGCAACATTCTTTAGTCAGGGTGATTGTGTTGCCGAGTTGGTGACATTCGCCCTCAGTGTTGTAAGACCTTACTTAAACAACTATTGTCATTTAGGCTAAATTTGGGTTCAATCTTGTGGGTGAGGTTCATGAACTAAAGGCCGTGCGCTCTCTCACTCTCTCATTTTGTCTGTCTCAATTTCCGTTACTCAGTCCTATTCTGCTTCCCTGTCGATCTATCAAAGTATGTCTCATTTTCTTTTTCTGTTTATCATAATTATCTCCCTTTCATTTTTTCCGTCAGTATTCATCTAAATCTTGCTTATCATCATCTCATTCATTCTCCTCTTATTTATTTATTTCTCTATCGGCATACCCCATTTTCTCTCTCCATTTTAGTCTATCTCACTTATCACTATTCTTTTTATCCTTGTCTCCGTGTGGCGGTAACCTTCAATTAATTATTTTTTTAGATTTCTCTGCCTCGAGTGTGTAGTCATGGTTCTGTATGTTTATATTTTTATACCAATTTATGTCTTCGTATGTCTCATTCGTCTCATCATGCGTAGACTTCACACCCCCTGAGACATACAACCGAGATCCATCAATTTGTGTATGAACGTTATGATACATGTAAGTAAAATGTCTGGTTTCCTTCACGTCACGTTTCCCTAATACACAAGCCTCAGGTGTGTGTATCATTATGCTCTCCAAAAAATGCGAATGCAACTTTCCCCAGGATGAAAGCTGGTGCTGGTGAAAGTACACGCATTGTATGACATCATATGTTTATGGTGTTTGGGTGTGAATGTCTGCGTCACGTGATAATCATTCTATTATTCTCGAGGCGGTTTTTTCCATGTGTTGTGCTGGAGCTAATGAAGAATTGAATCCCATCCCCTGGGTGTTATACAAGTACCATACTTCTCGAATAACCCGACACTTTTTTATACTTTGAAGATTTGCATTAATTGTCAAGGTTAAATAAATATATAATAAATACTTTCTCACGGTATATTTGAACTTGAGAATCACCCAGGTAAGGTTTTGTTGTGATGTGATGTGATGTGATGTGATTTCCTGTCTGGTTGTGTAATTTTTGTAAGTGTTTGACAATGGACTTTGAAGTGTTCGGTTAGTGCGGCTTCTCTCTTAGCCTCATATGTCTGTCTCTATACGTGCATTTGTCGTAATGACATTTCTTGCTTTTGCTTAATGACGGTGGTGGTGAAAGCTGGTAGGTGGAACACGTGTGTATGAGTGTGTCTACGTGTGTGTGAGCTTTCTATATTGAACTCTACTTGGGACTTTTTCTCTTAGCTTACAGACTGTTGTTCGCAGGTTTCAAAGATTGATACTCGAATATTTTCTCCTTTGAGGATAGGAGTCTCGTTGAAATTCTATGGTAGTGTTGGAGCTCACCTTCGTCACATCTCTAGTTTGGAAAATAAAAATCCTTGTGTGCCCATAATTTCTGGTTCCCAAAAATCTGTGACATAAACCACACTCACCCTCTGTGGTTCTCATAATCTGCTGTACACTTTCTCTTGTTCACACACATTTTGTTGGCGTTCACACAATCTCTCCATTGCCTTCACGTCTAAACACCATATGTTATAATTATGTTCAGTCAGTGGCTCTGCCTCTATTTTATCTGTCACTACCACCTTGGCCGAGACCACCTGGGGCGCCTGTGTGTGTGTGGTGATAATAGTGAAAACACCAATGAGACACTCCAGTAAAAGTCGTGTATAACTTGGTACCGTCACACTACACTACTACAAGACGAGTAATGTTGTTAATAATAATGGTGGTGAAGACAACAATGAGACACGTCAGTAAACTCGTGTATAACTTGGCACCGTCTCACTACAGGACGGGTTTACTAGAGGGCGAGGAGACGAGACAAACATCAAGACAACGACAAGAATGTGTGCGTAAGAGCTCGCATGAGACTCAGAGGAGTTTGATCACTAGGATTTTCTGTTGGTACTATTCATCCACAAGTACAGTATGTCCCCTTGAACTTTTCCGGTGTGCAGTAGCCCCCCCTCCCTCAGTGAGAGCCACTAAGTTGATCCTTTCGCCGTTATTTGTCTACGCCCTACCTTGGCGTTATATTTCCCTCACCCTTACCACAGGGAGGATCTAAATTGCTTATTACTATGCATAGAATGCAGAGAAAAATAAAGTTCTGAATTGGAAACAAAAGAGCCAACTATAAGCTGAATAACGTAGAGATAGAAAAATCCGATTGAGAAAGATTTATGTGGTGATGATAAGTAAGGACCTGAAACTTCGAGCAATGTGTTTTGTGTACTGTACGTGACAAGACCAAGTAGTATTATGGTTCATATCTACGTCGTTTGATGGTGTTAGTAGCACATTTGCATTATACGAATAATTTTTGGTTCTTCGTATAGCATTCAGAGTTGTATGACAAAATTACAGTAATCCCCGGCATTAATAACTTTCCGTATTGAGGCAGATTGAGAAACCGTATTATAATCTTTTTGAGATGTAGAGTGAGGGGCGATATGATTGTAGTGTACTATACATGTGGAAGATAGGGCTAAATATAGGTGACGTGATAAGGTACAGTCTCACCCAAAAGTTCGTTAACTCTCCCAGCCAGCTATTGCTGCACTGCCTGCTTCAGATGTTTGAAACTGTCTCAGTACCAACCAGAACATGAAACCGATACTAATGAATCTAAAGGTTCGAAGTAACAGACTCAAGTTCATACATCTGAAGTGGGCAGTGCAGCAATAGCTGGCTGGGAGAGTTAGCGAACTTTTGGGCGAGACTGTATCTTACTTAAAACTATCAAATCAGGAACGAACACGTTGCAATGGTTATACATTAGAAGAATAAAGATTTATGGAGGAAAGGGGGTAAACATTGGTTCGGAAATAGTTTTGGATGAGTGGAACATGTTACCAAACACCATCAGTACTAGAACTTGGGAAATTTTAAATACGTATACGTTGTACGGATACAGCACAGTAGTATAGGAGTGATAAAGGTTAGGTGTTAACAGGAGCTGCCTTGCAATAGCCAATAGGAGGCCTATAGTAGTTTTCTTAATTTATATGATTGTTTTATGTTCGAATGATAAAATCTGAAGTGTCAGTCTTGGCTTGAAGTGTTCCGCGAACACACACACACGCGTTGGTTATTTTATGTAATGATAAGTGTAGGCTGGTGTTATGAAAAAGGCAGTTTAGGATGCTTTTGTATACCTTTCAGAGGATCGTGTTTGCAGGTTTTCTTCGTCACAATAACCAAGAAACTGTCTTCTTATCGTGCTGGACGTCCTCTGAGGCGATCCTATATGCATCTGCCAGGACGTTCTGTGTTTATCATATGTGTTTTCGTTCCGCAGGTGCAGCTCCATGTTCACCTGGACGGCTGTATCCGCCATGAGACCATCTGGGAAGTCATGAGGTAAGGCTGAAGACTCGCTGAGCGGCTGAGGAAAATGCTGAGGGTCATAATTGTAGGACAAGGCTGAAAGGCGGCAGAAGAGTATTGTTATTTTTTGTGTGAGTTATATCTAGTGAAGACTACTTTCAGAAAGATAATTAGTCAGGGAAGGGAAATTATTAATCAGAGAAAAAAGTTTTGGAAAGCAGAAACAATCAGTTCTACAGTATGCGAATTGCGCCTGTCTGTGATGTGTTTGTGTCGACTTGATTTTGTTTGTTGCCATTTGGGATTTGATTTAGATTGGTTCGTTCACATGCATGCTGTGCTTGCATGAGAGAACTTACTGATTGAACGTTATTGTTTGCACGCACAAGGGATGAAAATACTTACGTCAACACATTATGTACCTGAAGATAAATGATGCCAAAATAGGCGAGGTTCCCCGCTTGCCAGGCAGACATAAGCATCCTGCTCCTGCCAAGTGGACCTGTTACTTATGAAGCGGTGACAGATGGGTCTATACTGGCAGGCTGGGCAGTCACCTGATGGCGGTAGGAACTGGCTGACAGTGAGGCAAGTAGACAGGGAGGGAGGGAGACAAGCAACCAGACGGGCTAACAGGAAGGCAGACAGACTAACAGAAATACAAGTGATCAAGCTGGCTTACGGAGGCAAGCAGTCAGGCTAGCTGGCAGGTAGAATCATACTGGCTTACAGGGAGATGGACAGTTGGACTGGCTGACAGGAAAATGGACAATCGGACTGGCTGACAGGGAGATGGACACTCAGACTAGCTGACAGGGAGGTGGACAGTCAGACAAGCTGACAGGGAGGTGCAGTCAGACTGAGTGACGAGTAGGTAGGCATGCAGTCAGACTGGTTTCCAGGGAGATAGGCTCTCAAGTTGGCTGACATGGAGATGGACAGTTTGGTTGACTGTGAGAGGTGGGCAGTCTGGTTGCCTTATGGAATGGGACAGTAAGACTGGCTAACAGGGAGGCCGACAGTCAACCTGGCTAACAGTGAGGTGGACAGTCAGATTGACTGACAGGGAGGGGGAACAATCCGGTTACCTGGCAGGGAGGGGGACAGCCAGTCAGACTGGCTGATGAAAGTACTGCAAGTAGACAGTCTGGCTGATGAAAGTACTGCAAGTAGACAGTCTGGCTGATGAAAGTACTGCAAGTAGACAGTCTGGCTGATGAAAGTACTGCAAGTAGACAGTCAGACTGGCTGATGAAAGTACTACTAGTAGACAGTCAGATTGGCTGATGAAAGCACTACTAGTAGAAAGTCGGACAGGGAAGTAGACAGTCGGGCATGCTGACAGGGAAGTAGACAGTCGGGCATGCTGACAGGGAAGTAGACAGTCGGGCATGCTGATGGAAGTAGACAGTCGGGCATGCTGATGGAAGTAGACTGTCGGGCATGCTGACAAGTAGACAGTCGGGCATGCTCAAAGGGAAGTAGACAGTCGGGCATGCTGATGGAAGTAGACAGTCGGGCTGATGGAAGTAGACTGTCGGCATGCTCAAAGGAAGTAGACAGTCGGGCATACTGACAGGGAAGTAGACAGTCGGGCATGCTGATGGAAGTAGACTGTCGGGCATGCTGACAGGGAAGTAGACAGTCGGGCATGCTCAAAGGGAAGTAGACAGTCGGGCATGCTGACAGGGAAGGAGACAGTCGGGCATGCTGACAGGGAAGGAGACAGTCGGGCATGCTGACAGGGAAGGAGACAGTCGGGCATGCTGACAGGGAAGTAGACAGTCAGTCAGGCAGGCATACTGGCAGGGAAATAGACACAGTCAGTCATGCTGGCAGGGAAGTAGACAGTGAGTCAGTCAAGCATGCTGGCAGGGAAGTAGACAGTCAGTCAGGCATGCTGACTGGGAAGTAGACAGTCAGGCATACTGACAGGTGACTGTTGCCTTTAATAACTCTTTTAAAGGTACTGGTTGCAACTAGGAGGGATGACTGATCAATAAAATAGTTCAAGCCATCAGTAATAAGTATGGATTTTTGGATTACATTGGGCTTCACTCCATAGACTTGAGAAGATTACACTGTATAGTATACAGTACAGTACAGGGTATACTATACACAAGTAACCGAGTCTAGACTCTTTCATAAACTGGGATTTGCAAGAGCAATGCTCTTATAAGATTCAAAATATTGAATTGCACTGTTTTTCTTGCAGAAGAAAGGGCCTGAAGCTCCCTGGCAGTGGTTCACTTGCAGACCTCAAGTTGGCTCTGCAGGTGCAGGAACCTGAAGATCTTTTATTCTTTCTGAGTGGCTTTAAAATTTTTTTGCCTGCCATTAAGTAAGTTGGTAACTTTTATTGTATTTTTTAAAGCATTTCACTGTTCTTGTATGTGCTAAGCCATTATCATTATTGATATGATTGTTTTGTTAATAATTGTATATTATTTTTTGGTAGACCAATATTGAAAATAACTTTTAAAGATTTATAATTCTTGGACTGCTACAGGTACCGTACAATAATTCCAATAAAATAAAGCTATTTTTGTTTCTCGCAATGGTAACTTTTTGCTTTCTCAATAATATGGTTAAAAATTTACAGTATTCTTTCAAACAGATTGAGGATAAATGTTTTATTGATATTGAATATGACACATTATTTTCATGAAGAAGTTTCATTTAAAAAAAAATTTTTCTGCAGAGGAGATCTTGCCGTCATAGAAAGAATAGCTCATGAATTTGTCGAAGATCAGGCTAAGGAATATGTTGCCTACTGTGAGGCTCGATTTTGTCCCCATTTGCTTCTCCCAAATGATACAACTCAATTCAGTGTGGTAAAATGCTTGAAGGGGAAGTCTCGTGTAAATGGTACTACTGATACAACAACTGAAGGTAATTATAATTATGTTGGAATGATCTGAGAATGGAAAAGATTTAACTGTGTTGCTTCAAAGGTTTATTGCATTACTAAATTATTTTATCTTTTTAATTTGTGTTTGTTTCAGATGCCTTGAGGTCTCTCTAGAAGGATGGCCTTCACAGAAGTGCCTCCAGGGACCTATTATAAACAATCTGTCTCACTTCAAAAAGCTGGTTTTCCGGCTTCTTGTGGTGTAGATTAATACCCGTATAGTCTTTTCTCTTCTATTTTTAATTTCCTTTTACTCTCATATTTTTTCTCTCCCAGGCCCCGTTCTGGGTCGATGACCTGTGCCCAGGTGGGCTATTCCCTGTAAAAAAAGAAAAGAAAAAAAGGTGTTCATGTGAAAAATGGATAATTAGTTTCCTTTAAAATTAGAACTGCAGCAAAAATGTGTTGAATGTACTTTTTATTTAACATATGCAGTGATATTTTATTTATTTTGGTATATTAGGGGTGGATCCAGGAATATCAAAAGGGGGTCCAAGAAGTTGTGGGTGGGGGAACATGGCGAGCATTTTGAAACTATGTGCACTTGATATTAGGAGATATTCTGTGGTCAATAGTAATTACTTTTTACTATACGTACAAAAATACCTGAGTACAACAATGCATCAAAGAAATAATATTGAAATTCTCTGGTGGAAGGTGGGGGGGTTCCGGGCCCACAGGACCCCTTGGATCTGCTCTTGTATATAAGAAGTAAAACAAAAGTTCAACTGAGTTTAAGTCCTGAAGCAAAAATTAACATAGCCTACTGATAGGTTTAAGGTAACTGAATGATGAATCAGGGTGGAAAATTGAACCTGCTAGTAACCCTGAGATAAATATATCCAGTTTTTGAGAATCTCGTGTTTTTTTTAGATCTGGTATTGATGGTCTGTACCTGTACTCTATTCCTAGACTAAGTATCTACCCTGACATTTAGGATCTCTACAATATACTGTACATGGCAGCTATTGCTTTTATCCACTTTGCCAATGATCAGTTTGTTGGCCGCTTGGGCGGTCGATCACGTCTCTGATATGCACTGTTGGCAAGTACGATACTGGGCATGCACTGGATCCTGAATATATTTGAACCTGCTCCAGTGTTGGTTAAGTCTGGTCTTGAAAGATCTCACACTTGGTGCCATCACAACACCCTCTGGCAGGTTGTCCCAAGAGCTCACAATTTTTACTCCGAAAAAGTTTGCCCTCACAGTTTTCTGGACCTATGGCTTCCTCAACCTTGAGCTGTGACCCATTGTGGGGTGGGTGCCAGCTCCAGGCATGGACACTCATTTGAGTAGTGCTCTCTGAGATGTTTATACACTTCAATTAGGTCCTCTCTTGCCCGTCTGTAGCATAAACTAGGCAGTTGCAGACGCTCTAATCTCTCTAGATAGCCGAAGTGCAGGCACCAGTCTGGTGGCCCTTCATTGGACATTTCCAATAAAGTGACAGTCCCTAGCATATCTTGGGGACCAGACAAGGTGACAGTACTCGAGGTGGAGAAGCACCTTACTCTTGAAGATTGTTATGAGGGACGGACAGTCTAGATATCTGAATGACCTTCATATAAAACCTGCTAGTTTAGTTGCTCGATTCACCTTCTTCTCACAATGGCCCGAGAACTTCAGTTCATTGTCAACATACACACCCAGGTCCTTTTCGCATCCAGTCTCTATTAATGCAGTTTCTTCATCCCGTTGGGACATATGATACCCCTCCTTGCCGTTGGTACCACCCAGGTGCATGATCTTAACACTTTAGGACATTGAATCTTTGCAGTTATTATACAAGAAAGCGTCAATGCTAATACAATATGTACACCTTTCTTGCATTTCCAATAAAGGAAGGATCTAGTTATGAAGAGTGTATGATTAAGAGGTGAAACAGATAGTATTAGAAAGAGGAAAATTTAAAAGTAGAGGGAAGGAGGGGGTTAAAGTGGCATTGTATGAGATGATGATGGACATCCAGCAAGCATAGTGTTGAGGGAATTATGGTCAAGGATCTGATGCTGTTTTGTGATGATGAGCTTTACTAAAGAAACTAGGCTAAATCAGGTCTTGTGTTGTGAATGTGGGTCAAATAGTTAGAATACATGTGATCAGGTTATTAAAGAAAATACAATGAGAATAACTGTAGGGAGAGGATGTGTTGCTTTTAATTCTGATCAACCTGTGTCACAGTGGGTATAGATTGGTAAGTAATAAATACAGTAGTACCTGTACAGGTATACACTATTGTATGAAACTACTGTATATAAGTTTGGTTTTATTTATTTTTTCACTACTGTACTGACATTTAAAACTTTAATACAGTACATTACTGCACATATTATAATCTGTGTATTTGTATATTTCAGATGGTCCTGTCAAAGATGGTGAGGTCACTGTAGATTCTATTTTAAATGCTGTTCTGAAAGGGTTTTCACGTGGAGAGGAAGATTTTGGCACCAAGGTTCGAGTCATTCTATGCTGTATACATGGGACTTCAGGTAAGTTTCTTCTATTTAGCTTAATTTTAATATCTGATACAGTACAGTACCTGAATTTTGCTCTTTTATGCCATATCTTTGTCTATCAGTGTCATTGTTGTTCTGTAATTGTTTGCCACGTCATTTTGATTTTTTATAGTTTAGTGTCATTTAGTACAAACGGGTGGCAAATAATAACATTATGGATTTTTTTTTTTACTGGATTCAGCAATTGTGAAGGTTAAAGAGGAGTGGATTTATCAAGATTCAGTTTACACAATGTAAGAAATTAAGTTTTTTGAAGAACAATGTCTAAGAGTATGCCATAGTAAGATTTTTTTATGGTACTGTATACCCAAAAAAATTTTTACACCAACCAAACTTTGCAGATTCCTTGGTTGATGCAGTTTTAACCTCAGTACAGTACATGGGTTTTTCATTGTGGCAGGGGATGGTGTAAAATCTACCTTATCACGTGGGTATTGTGAGTGTTGCTGTAACACTGCATCTGCCCTAATGTTCACCTCACCCTTAGGAGAAAATAAAGCTAGTCTATGTGAAACTGAATCTTGGGGGAATACCACAGTTTCCCATCCATCTGGGAGGTGAACATGAGTATACTGTGGATTTGTATCTACTTGTAACTATACTTTTGCCTAAGGGTCATGATTAGACTGCCACATGTGTCATCTCAGCTGAGTGCTATCCTGGAGAGATCAGCCAATTGAGAATAGAGAGGCTGCTTGTTGATTGACTTTGAAAATGAAATGAGTGCTGAAAAATTATTGGTTGAAATATAGAATAAGGATTTTAAAGAGTGAAAAGTATCAGAAAGAACCTTCTCCCACTGAACAGTTGGAAGTTTTCACCACTCCAGTGTCAGAGTAAACATCTGCTGGTACAGTATTCCAAAGATGGAAAACAATTCGCATAAACATTTGATCACCATCTGCATAGACATGTTAGAGCAAGGGACTGTAGATGAAAAGCCTAAGTATTCATCTACTTTTGTGAATAGTGTGTGGTGTATCCATACTGCCCTTAATGGGCAGTCATGCCTATGGGACTCGCTTTCACTATTCTAGTGGCTCCACTTTGGCCCAGTGTGGTTTAGTATCTCCTTCTGATTCTACTTTAAACATTTTTCATTTCCTTCTGGCACCATTTTTGGAATGGGATTGGGAGAGGATGAGGTCTTATACCGATGTCTCCAATTGTTTAAGTTACATGTCTGGATCTTCTAGGTTTCTCAAAAGTGGAGCAGGTAACAAGGTAAGGCTCATTATACATGTCTATATATTCAATAACTGGTAACACTAAGCAGGTACTGGGACAACCCTGATCAACAGCTAGGTAATGAAATATCTAATATATTGGTATGGAAATCCCATATCATATACAAAGCCTTTACTCATACTATCACTCAACTTGCAAAAATTTTTAAGGGAAAGATGAATACAAATATCTTGTTCACTTCCACCATAAGGCCCCTAAAGGCCCGTCCACACGATCGAGCAGTGCCCAGCGGGCACGCGCTAAATGCCCGTTATCAGGCAAAATTGGTGGGCAAACCAGCGGAGTGCCCGTGCCCGTCGTCGAGCGAAATCATGGTCCGCCTGCCTGGTGGTTTGCTGTCGGATATGGAGCGACGACTTTAAGTACAGTGAGTTCTGCTATAACGCGTGTTTTGATAACGCGAATTTGCTCTAACGCGATTTATGAATTAGGAACGATATTTGTATAACGCGAACGCTTGTTTGCTATAACGCGAATTTTGCTTACTATTTCTCCAATTTTGTGGTATTGACTGTGAATATGGTAAAGAAGAATATCTCCAAGAAGCGTTCTGGTGATAGAATTCCCGGTGATGATCGTAAAAGAAAGGATATAACACTTGAAGAGAAGCTCGATGTTATCAACCTCAAAATCACCGTTCTCCCCCATCAAGTAAAGTGTTACATTTACTGTATGATTTCATTATTAGATATGAATGTAACATTTATTTAGACTGGGCTATCCTTTGTGTTAGGCTAACTACTAAATTTTTTCGATTTCGAGTAATCTGCACCTAACCCTATTTTCTCCATAAGCCCTGTTATTTCTATTACGCGATTTTCTATAACACGATATTTTACAAGAACACAATTATCGCGTTATAGCAGAACTACCTGTACTGCAAATGTGATACGTATATATTCCCCGCTCGGTCCAGATGTCCAGTGTATAACCAAATAAGCTTATGCAATGTACTTTATTGGCGTGACAATAAACGGGAGATTGTTTATGTATTTTGTAATGAGGACATTCGTGTGTGTTCTTCGTTCCTGCCGCTCTCCTCACTCTAGTCCCATAGCTTCCTGTCTATGCATATCATAATTCTAACATTATTCAATTAATTTTTATGTATTACAAATCTCACCTGCAAGTAATCTTCCTTGAGTACTTCATACATGGTTTGACAAGTTGCAGGTATTATGCCAGACAAACTTTGGTTTGATATCCTCGTTGTATACTGAAGTGACGTGTAGGTGCACCCAGTTGAAAGATATATGAGCATTGACTCTAGACGAGCCTCTGCAGATATACTCTCCCTCATATTGGTATCCTGTTTTTTTTTTTTATATATGGTTCCATTTTCCCTAGAAGTTTGTCAAAGGTGTTGGGTGGCATGACTTCACAATACTTTTCTTTGACATAACCACTCTTTGCACCATTCCCTTTTCTGCATTTGGTTCTTCTTTTTGCACATAGCAGCAATTATTATAATTAACGGTTTATTGAAAGAGCTATGCTCTTCACTTTAACTGTCCGGCGATTATTCCTGCGACACACCATGGTGATCGTACCGCACCCGCCACTGCCGACCACCTACTAGCTACCGGCGCCAGACTATGACTGCCGCCAACCACCCTCGTGTGTACAACAACACACAGGCTTTGCCTGGTAAACAGGCAAAGCCCGCCGGACACTGCTCGATCGTGTGGACGGGGCTTAAGAGAGAATATTCTATCTCTGAATCTGGTTCTTAAGGATTGATTCCTTCTGAAAATCACAGTTCGCAGAGAATATGCCTAGCTCCACTGTTAGAGTTGCAGAGACCAACTTTCCTACTATTTTTCAATCTTGTTATGAGGAATTATTCTTCAGACAGGAGAGAGCAGATTTTCATAGGAAGGAGAAAGTATTCTCCCCCAGAACCCCAACCAACTCACCCCTAATGTACGCCTGTGGATGATTAGAAATTTGAATTTTTATTTAAAAGGAAACCTCGACTTTTTCTTCATTGAAATTCTTTGTGTATTTCTCTACCTTTCCTTTGAGAATGGCCCAAAATACACCAGAAAGAAAACTCCTTATTGTCTCTAACCATATCCCTGAAAGCTTGGTAAAGATTCTTGACCAATTTTCAATCCACAAGAAAGCACTGTACCTAGAGCTGGTTATGAATGATACTGAGACTGAAAGATATGAAAGGGCTAAAATTCCTTTGCTTTGGATAATACTGTAAGACAAAAGGCATCCTTTAAGTCAATAGAGATCTATGAAAGGATCCTCTTTAAGCTTCCTCACACCTACTTAATGATATCCTAATTAAATGTCAGGAATTTCTTTATTCTCATATGAGAGATGCTCAGTTTTGGAATATGGAAAAGCCTCAACCTAAAATTTCTCAGGTTTCAAAACTTAATAGCCTTTAGCTTAACATTTCAAACACCTTATCCTACAGGGTATCTGAGCTCCTCCTATTTAGAACGAAATTGCCTTAAAGCTCTTAAATACACTTCAATTCTTCCGAATTAGTTTTGTGCCCAAGGATCCTGATCCCAAAACCATTAAGATAAGTTAATTTTGCCAACCTCTCTAAAAATTCCCTCCCAGCTACTTTGGTCAAACTCCGTCCATTTATATATAGCTGTGTTAGACCACAGGGAATCGAAGCATGTGTGTTCATGCTCAACAACAAAAGCTCTCCAATCTTCTCTCATTTGTAAGGTACCTTCATACTTTACTTTATCCTCTTCACCTTTGATTGTCCTGTTACCCACTTGTGCATTTGGTTATGTACTACCTTTAGTGTAATGGTCAGCATGCTCGCCTCGCAAGCGAGCGGACCTGGGTTCAATCCCCGGGTAGGGTGAAACTATGGACAAGTTTCTTTACACCATTTGCCTCTTTCTACCCATCAGTAATTGGGAACCTGAATGTTATTCGATTTGCTGATCGTATTCCGGGGTAATGGTTAGCGAGTGCAGTTGGCGAGTTGTCTGGTCTTCTCGGACTATTCCTTGACACTGGGTCATGCAACTCTTTAACTTAGGGTGTGGTTATTGTGTTGGCGACAGCTTCTACACCTTAAACAAATTCACGCCTAGGTGTCCCCTGGGCCGGCCATCCTCGTTACATGAGGGGCAACCATTATTATTATTATCTGTTATGCACTCTTGACAAGTACTGGGCATGTACGGGTATGCTTTCCAGAATATATCTGAACCTGTACCAATATTGGGCATCATCTGGTCTTAAATGAGTTCGTACTTGGTGCCGTCACAGCATTCTGGCAGATTATTACAAGAGTTCACAACTCTCGCTTCAAAAAGCTAGTTCTGACAGTTTCTCAAACTTTTGGCTTCTTTAACCTGAGGCTGTAATATCTCATGGGACAGGCACCTGCTAGCTCATGATATGAACACTTGACTATGAGCACTTAAAGTGCTTAAAGATTTCTAATAAATCATTATTGCCTTTCTATAGTATATACTGTTCTAGGTGACTGCAGGTGTTCTAATCTCTCGGGTATCTGAGGTGTTGGAGAGCAGGCAGTGTCTAGCAAATCTCAAGCACCTCACTTTTGAAGAGTGTTATGAGGGCCGGGCAATCTATGTATGCGAACAATCATCATGTAACTCATGCCAGTTATTATCCTGATGGCATCCAGCAAGAATGTGGAGGATAACCTAATTTTCAAATTGATGTACTTTTTAGATCCCAGTCACATAGGTTGGAGCCTTAGGGATTCATCCTTTTAGTCTTGGCTATACACAATTGCTCAATCTCAATGTATGGTTGTAGAAGACCTTACAGTATACCCATGGTGTTATAACCATTGAAGCTGCCATTGTCATCATTGACATGAACAGTGTTATGTTTATTGTCTAACTGTACCTGCAGGTGAACTTCATTGTATTTTGATAACATGTATTGGTAGAAATAATAATAGTATACACCTTTTACAGAATGGTATTGGGATATTCTCCGTTTGTGTGAGGAATACCGTAGTAAAGGAGTTGTTGGTATTGATTTGGCTGGATATCACGAATGTTCTGACTGGTCTACAGAAGGTAAGATGCTAATTATGAATACTGTACCTATCTAAGGGTTGATATGATTTATGTAAATTAAAAGAAAAATTGCTTCTTATAATTAATATTTTTTCTCGTTATGAGGAATTTATAAAGGCATTTCTCAATTTGTGAAATGGTTTTGTTCCTGAAAAAACTTTTGTAAATAATTTATTTGTAAACTGGATCATATTTTCCTATAGACTCTAATTGTAAAATCCGAAATATATTCCCACAAAAAACTTGCCCCCAAATATCTCGAAATGCTACAAACATATTTTTAATGAAAGTTTTTGGTGTTCACAATCATTATAAGTCCCACCCAAGACGTGGTTTTTATTTGGTTGTGATTCACCAACAGTAAGTCTACAGTTTGAGATGTTTTGCTTTCTTTGGATTTGATTTTTAATGAGGCTTTATCTTAAGAAGAAATGCTATACCATACTTAACCATTTAACATTCAATTTTTTTCATTGACATCAGGTCAAACTGGGATACTAATCACATCACCATTCCCAAAGTACAAATATCTCGAGTCAGTGTCTTGCCACTGCTTCACATAACAATCATGTGAGCCATGATAACTAAAACACAACAGCATTTTTTTTTTAGCCAAGTTTATCACACTTAATACTGTACAGTACAATACTGTACAGTATTATTTTATTATTATTATTTTTTTAATGACCATGTCTGTTATGGGAAGTCCTGAGATGTCTGAGTCAGTACCTCAGCATTTTTAATGCTGTAAAAAAAATTATGAAAAAAGTAAGGAAAAAATTTTAACCTCGGATCTCTCATAAGTCGAAACATGGGACTGCCTGTATATAGTAATTTTTGAATATAATGTGCCAAATCCAGTCATCTCTTGTTGATACTGTACCAGAGTCAATAAAATCAGTTCTAATTAAGGTAGAAATACTATTTTTGACCCAAATAATCCTGAATAGTTTATCAAAAAAATTGGTTTAATAAATGTATTTTAAAAACAAAAAATCTATATGATGCAGGTGTGCGAAGTACATACACTAGGTTAGAAGGGAGGACAAGTGACCCTTGTGGGAGTGGACGAAACTGGCTGCATCAACCTCCCATCCTCCTCCTCACTGTACTCCCTCCATCACACACCCCACCAGACCCTGCCTCTACCACTCTCTCCACCTCTTATACCCTCTGTAATTGTTTAAGTAAATAGGAACAATAGATAAGATAAGAGAAATCATGTAAAGAAATAAAAAGCATAAAATATGCACTATTGTATTTTATGATATGCTATTTATCAATTTTATTGTTTATACACTGCATTAGCATTTTTTTTGGACATTGTAAAAGCAATACTGGTACCTCTTGAGTTATTACAGTAGTTGATCCACCTACCTGTAGATGGCATTGATTTACCAAACAAGCACCAGCCAAGCGGTAAGCAGGATAATGTTCCAAAAGTACAGTACAGTACTGTATAGGAATTATGGCCCAGTAATATTTATAAGCTAATCATTACCAATTTTAAGTTTGAACTGTACTGTAACTTTTCTCATTATCTAAGCATTGTATAAGCTTGTGTAATATTTCTGGGTCATTTGGGGACTGTATTTGACATCTCTGGGGTTTGTGTTTGGAACGGAGCTTTCTATCTTATACTTGAACTTTGACAAATAAGACACAGGGTGATTTTGTACATGTTTTAACGGAAAAAATTGTTTTATGGGCTGGGAAATATGGTAATATATATTATGGTGTACGAGTATACCCTGTACCAATACCTGTGATCGACTGTACCAAACATTCTGAAACTAGTGAACTAACACTGCTCATAAAACTATGAAACACATCAACACCATGGTAACGATACTTTTGGGGGGACTGTACTAATACTTTAGCACATTTAAATGTTGCAATTCATTTCTTGCATTATGTCAAAACATATTAAATATTAATGTTACTGGTATATTCAGCGATTAATTTTAATATTGATATACAGTACTGTATCTAATTATATCTATGAATTTTGTACATCTAAAGCCAAAATTTCAGATCAGTCATTAAAGGAAGACCGTGTCCTTGTAGAAGTATTTGAAGCAGCAAGAGAGAAAGGGATTCATCGCACTATTCATGCTGGAGAAGCAGGACCTGCTAGTACTGTCAAATTGGTAATTACATACTGTATATAGGGCTTACAAGCACTTAGCAACTTTATTGACATAAAATCTATCAATTCTGCTTATTATTAGGATTGCTTTACTGTACTACATATGTCAGTCTGTATCCAGCATGTGATATGCCACTCTTCTAATGCACCACAGATTCTTCTCTCTACAAAATTTCAACCAACACTTCTCATTTATCTTCAAGCAAAAGTTCTCTCAATGCAAAACTAGAAGCAACTTCTCTCACTCAACCTTCCACAGACTTCAACTAATATTCTTCTTGTATATGTAATCTATACTACTTATGATAACCTAACTTCTAGTGTCCCATTATCCACAATAAACTTCACTTTTCTCAGATTGACCCTCTTGCTGCTGGACAACGAAATAAATATTCATCATCTGTTTCACTATACAGTAAATTGGAGACAGGTCAAAGCAGCTGATTATCCCATACTACACTAACCCCCTGCTCAGCCTACGAAAAAAATGTAATCCCTTTGTTTTTTGCCTTATGGTAAGCTTTTTTGGGGGGGTGGGGGTGGGGTTGCACATTCTGTATGTAGGGATGGTGTGTGCAGGAAACCGTAAAAAAAAAGTACAGTACCCCATTTTATCTACCTATAATTAGGAGTTAAAAAAATAGCCATAACATAATATATAGCTCATTGGATGACAAGAATTTTGTCATCAGATGGGGAACAGTTGAAAATTTTCACACTTGGCCTGGTAGCAAGAAGATTAAGACATTTTTTCATTCTTTTCTGCATATGTCTTACTTATTCTTGTATCACGTTAATACTCTATGTATCACTTTTTCAGTCCCTTCTTTTCCCATTGGATTTATTAATTTGAGTCATTTCTCAAATTGTCTACTTTTTTCTTTTTTTTCAGAAGTCTCTCTTTGCTGTTTATACTCTGTCCATCATTATAGCATCCATATTTTTTCTTTTTTCATTCCTATATATCAACGGTGAATGATCTATAGGTTGCACCGAACTTTACTACAGCAGTCCAGGGATGAGAAATTAATCTTAGTTGTGTTTGGAATCTCTCATTCCTGGAATAGCTCTTCACCAATTATTTCAGCTGTTGCAAAAGCAATTACAATACAGTAATAGTAATTTGAGTGTAATTTAAGGAATTCGTAAGCTGTTATTTTATCCTTTTTTTTCTTTTCTAGGCTGTGGAAGCATTAGGTGCCGAGAGGATCGGCCATGGTTACCGTGTAGTAGAAGATGAGAGTATATATCAAATGTGCTTAAAGGAGAATATCCATTTTGAAGTTTGTCCTCACTCCTCTTATCTCACAGGATCTATTGGTTCTCTAAAAACCAAATCAAAGAGACATCCTGTCCTCAGGTAGGACTTTGAGTGCTTTATTGAGAATATTTTCTATTTTTTACCCACATTATTATCTCTACAGCATTATTAATTTTTACTTGAGGGGTAATGGTTGCAGTGGTAGAGTATTACAGTATTAATTAATTCCAGGATTGTAACCCTTTAAACTTGAGACAAGCAATCCAAGAGTCCTCTTACCTCAACACAGCTGTAATCACAGATTTCCAGATCAATCATTTATTTCTCACCCATAGTGAAAAAAGAAAACTCTTTTGATGTACAAGTCCTTTATTTTGGGAGAGAAAGTATGAATATGATATATATTAGTATTACAGTTATTGTACTATACAGTGATATCCCCGTTAGCTGCAATAAGAATTGGTGTAGAGCTCTTCCAGGAATGAGAGATACATACTGTATTTGGGTATGGAGTCAAATTTTCTCTACCCCAGAAAAAATTGCACATCTCCAAAATTTTTCTGGGTATCTGTACTGGGGACAATTTTCAGAGTGTAAACTACACATCTTGCACGGATAGACATTACTGTATGCACTATACTGTACTCGCCGTCATATGCTGTTGTCTTGGGTTTATGATGCAGGTAGGCCAAATGGTAATATGATGATACAGGATGGCCTACCTTTGTCCTGTACCATTTACTGTAGCAGCTCTTACTAATTGTCACTATCTTTTACATCCATGAAGGAGGGATTGTGCATGCACTGTATAGTACAGTATACATACCTCTACAAATTCGTCTAAACTGGCCACTGGTATGTACAGTACTTTCACACTTCTTAAATGTACAGTACTGTATACGGAAGTGTACTGTAATCACACTTTACGTCTTAACACTGCTTTAACACTGTACTCTTGGTATAATAATGTACAGTTCTGCACAACACAAATTATATGCAAAAACTGCAGCGAGCGAGGGATCAATCTTTAACAATAGCAGCAGAATATGAACTAAGTGGGTGGGTCTATGGCCTAAGTCACCCAAGCAGCTAGCCCACCCATGCACCTGGCATGTGGGGACACATTGGAGCATGATGCACTCTCTTGGAACCTACCTCTGGCAAATTTTCTCCCATGCCTGGAACGGAGAGATTTTTTCAGAATTTTTCCGTAAAATGAGCACGATTTCATCCTCAGAAACTTGTTCCCATGCCTGAAATGGAGTGTGCTTTTCCCGAAGGCTCAAAATTCATTCCGGCTATTGGAGAGTTCTGTGGACAGGAGATCCCAGCTAATGGGGAGATAACTTGTAAACAGGGCCGCATTAACAGCGGTGCCCGTGGAACCCGGGCTGGGGGCCCTTGAGCTTGCAAATATTTGTTATAATAATAATAGTAATGATAATAATAATGATAATGTTTAGATTCTACTCCCGATACTTCAAGAACTGACCAACTTGCATTCACTGTCCAGTATGCTTCTTCGTCTGGTGAACTAGTGGATTGGTTTTTGCTTTACCTTCCCATCAGTAGTCACACAGGATAAAATATGTGTGATAAGGTTCCTGGACACATTGAATGAATTGGACATAAGATATTCAAAATTGTCGTGGACAATCCTAAGATAATGCTGCCAATATGTCTGGGAAATATGAAGGTCTCCAAAGAAAAATCAAAGATGTAAATAATCTCATTGATTATGTACCTTGTGCTGCCCATTCACTGAACCTGGTAGGAGTACAAAGTGTTAGTTGTTGTTTGGAAGCCATAAAATTTTTTAGTTTGCTTAACAAACTTTTTGCTTTCTGCACAAGATCAACACATCGTTGGGCTATCTTGACAAAGGGTTTCACTCCAAATGAAAACAACAAGATTTTAACTTTAAAACGTTTGTCAACTACGCAATGGTCTTGCCATGCTGAGGCTACGAAAGCGTTGTGCCTTAGCTACAAAAGCCGATATGAAAACTTGAAAGACTTTGTGGCTAATGATGTTGAACCTGAATCTATGAGGTCAGAGGCAAATGGATTAATTGCTGGCCTAGAAAAACTTGAAACCGGTTTCATGGCAAAAATGTGGAATAGAATACTTATTCAGTTCAATAAAGTGAGCCTAACTCTGCAAAAGGAAAGTGTGGATTTGCTGACAGCCACATCATTGCTGGACTCTTTTGAGGAGTTCACCGAGAAACTGCGTGAAAAATTTGACGAGATTGAAGATGATGCAAAGAACACCATGCCATGCATAAACCATCATTATCAATATGAAGAAAAACGTCAGAGAAAACGAAAGAGATATTTTGATGAAAGTAAATCACCAGATGAAGAATTTGCAGAATTCCCAGGTCAGATGTTCAGAGTGCAAACTTTCACTCTATTCATAGATAAACTGCGAACTTGTCTTGCACAACGTAAAGAAGCTTATAGAGGACTAGCAGATGATTTTGCGTTTCTAAAATGTTTCTCAGATCAAAACAAAGAGCATTTTACAGCTAGAGTAATCCATCTCACATCAAAATAGAGATGATTTTGATTCTGATTGTGCTGATGAATTTGAAAATTTTTATAATTTTATAATCAGATTGAAAGAGAAAATGGATTCACCACTGTGATGCTCAAGTTCATAAAACATCAGAATTTGGAAGCAACTTTTCCAAATGTCAGCATAACTTTGAGAATATTTCTGTCATTGCATGTCAGTGTGTGTGAAGCAGAACGCAGCCTCTCAAAAATGAAACTGGTGAAAAGTGAAAGGCGTGCTACAATGAGCCAATATAAGCTGAACTTCCTTGCCATCATGTCCATTGAAAGCGATCTAACACGTGTGATTGACTTTGAAGATGTGGTTTTCAAGTTTGCTGCTATGAAAGCTTGAAAGGCTGACTTTTAGTTCAATACATCTATAAAGTACTTCATCTAGATACAGTTGTTTCTTCCAATAAATGAATTAAGATCAGACATTCTGTTTAGTACAATTTTGTTAGATTTTATTTTATTGAAAGGTAAATTTTGTTTGAGTAATCTAAGTACAACTGCTGGTAATGAATGTATGCAACTTAAAACTTAGAGAAAACACTTGAAATGGCCTTCTAGTTTATTTTTTTATAAGTTGAATTCACAATTTTTTTTTAAAATAAACTATACCTTTATTTGAAATTTGCAATGTCGTTCTTTTTCCTGAAAAAAAGTATGGGGATAGGGGTAAGGGGGGCCCCTCTCGATATAGTGCCCGGGGCCCTAGATTGTCTTGATGCAGCCCTGCTTATAAAGTTAATTACTCATAAGTGTGTTCAAAACTACAGTTTGATTAATTTGATAACAGGTTTGCTGAGGATGAAGCAAGCTTCAGCATCAACACTGATGACCCAACCATCACTAACACACAGCTGATGGACGAATACAAACTCCTTACCGAGTGGGGCTTTACAGAGGCACACTTCACACGTGCGGTATGTATATAAAACTTTGAACTTAAATGTAATATATCCAAGAAACTACCAAGTTCATACAATAGGTAAAAATAATACACACACACTTTGTAGTGTTTCAAGCGCTAGTAAATTATTTAGAAGAACTGGCACTTTTGTTAAAAGACCAGCTTTTATTATTACGATACAACCTTCATTTTTTCCAATTTCACCCACTCTTACCCCGTCTGTTTTTTTCCCTTAACTTTTACCTGACAGGGACTTACAGAAAGATTCTAATAAAGGACAATCAAGATAATTGTCTATTCCTCTTACATTATCTATCAAAAGGCACTCAGTACATTGGCCCACTTAATTTGTACCATCAATATCATGTCATTTGTCATTTTGGGATAAAGCGTTGCATCACCCTTACTATGGCACCTTCTGGACCCTGAGGTTCTTCCTGCGAGATACCGTACAGTTCAAAACCGCAGCTGCATCAAACCCATATGACCTCACACTGACTACTACAGGAACTGTCCCTTTCTCATTATTGTGCCAAATTTTAAATAAAGATGGATGCTTAACCACCCCTCCCTAATTATACTGTACTGTATGTTGTACAGTACAGTATACTGTATGTATCATGATGTACTGTATGTCTTTTGTTTATTATTGCCTTTTGCTTGCTTTAATAATCAATAAACTGTAAACTATTAATACAGTTTCCATATAACACACTATTAATATTATTACAGGTACAGACCCTTAGAAGCCGGATCTTGGGAAACTGGAAATTCTTGAAAATGATATTTTCTTCCCTGGGTTAGGTTAGATTTTTTTCACTGGGGTTACCCTAGGCCTATCAGTTGGCTGTCAGGTTTAAAGTCCAGTACCTTGATGTTCTTTATTATTATTATTGTGTTCATTTTTTTATATTAGTACAGAGTACTGTATTGGTAAAAATTAAATCAAAGCTTTAAAGTAACAGTAGCCAGATTCTACTTGTTGTCACATGCGGTCCTCTGATGTCTTATCCTTTCCGCCTTTGGTCAGCTCACCAAGATGGCTTCGTGCTAACCTTGAATCAAAGTTATTGAAACTTCGCATTATACTGCCTTTTATTTATTTATATTTAACTGTATTAATACTTTTTACTTTTACTTTTATCCTCTTCACCAATCAAATCTTTCTTTGATATTTCAAAACCTATCTGAACACAGAATACTGGAATGACATTTTGTTAATGCAATTGATATGTAAATTAAAGGAATCCGCTTCTAGGGTTATTTATTCAATCAGATATCCATTATTTATGAACTATGCTTTGCAAAGTCTCAGAAACTCACTTTTAGATACAGTAAGGTATTGTTTAGACTATTGTAGTGTGCCAAATACCTGTGAAGGCTAAAACTAATAGATTTTGTTTTATAAAATTTTGGTTTTGTGTACACTACTGTTAGTTTCAATGTACCGATAGTATGCTAGTATACTAACTAACTCTAGTGCTATGTAGGCCTACCAACAAAACTTGACATAGTCTACTGGTAGGCCTAGGTAACAGATGGATCACCTAGGACCCAATAAATCAGATAATCCTCAAAACTGGTTCTATCTTGGTCCCAAGGGTCTTGGATTTAAAGGTCTATACTTCCCTTTATTATTGTTTTAGTATATTACACACGCCAGACTGCATGCTGATTACACATAAGCACACACATTCTCCATATGCTTTTAAGTTATTGTAGTGCATACTAACATTTTCTTTGCTTTAATGCAGAACTTTGAGGCTGCCAATCACTGCTTTTTGCCTACAGTTGAGAAGCAAGTACTTATTCAAAGTTTAAGGAATGCTTATGGATGCATGTAGATGTTCTGGAGTCTGAGGATGAGGTGTCTTAATGGTAAAGTGGTCTCACTTCATCTCAAAAAGGTTCACAACTTTGATATTTTTCTTTTTAGGTACTGGATCTTTAGAATACTTCCCTCACTACTTAGTGTTTTTGTTCATAAACTTAATTTTAAATCAGGGTAGTGCAGTATAAATAAATTCATATCCATGTTTAAAGAAAGTTTGCTAATTTTGAAAATAACTTGCAATGTACTGTAGACTGTTAAGGTGTTTTAAGGATTAGAACTTCTAAAATATTTATTCGGTAATCTTCAGGTCTGAAGTACAGTAGGGTTTTGTCCAATGTGCATTTGATTATAAATGTGTAATTATTTTACCGATTACTGATAAGATTTATAATTACTATATATGCAGGTTAATGTGACTGTTGCTCTCTTTTCAAGAAAGTATGTGGATCGGTGATGGAATAAACATAGACTCATAGACTCTGTTGTTGATAGTACATTGTAATATAATATATACAGTAATATCTCCATTAGCCGGAATCCCTCAAACCTGGAACTCTCCGATAGCCGGAATTGAAATTTTCTCGGAAGATCGTTCCCATAGCTGGAATTTTCCCGAAAATTCTGGCTTTGGGGTCGATTTTCCATGGGGCACATTTTTCAGAAAATTCCAAGAAAATTTTCCCGATACCCGGAAAATTCTGGCAATTTATGGAAATCTTGAGAAAATTTTTCCATTAACCAGAAAATTCCGGGGATGGTGGATATTTTTCCGGGTTCAAGAGATGTAATGGGCAATTTCTGGAACTTCCGAGAAAATTTTTCCGTTACCCGGAAAATTCCAGGGATGAGGTATTTTTTTCCGACTTTGAGAGAGTCGTCTCGTTACCCGGAAACCTCTCATTTCCGGAAGTGCTCTACACCAATTGTTCCAGCTAATGGGGATATCATTGTGTGTGTGTGTGTGTATATATATATATATAATATATATATATATATATATATATATATATATATATATATATATATATATATATATATATATATATATATATATATATATATAGCTGATAACCACAAGGAAAGAAAACATTTGCTTTCACATCTTCAGGGGTGAGTACAGACTAGTCTGTAATCACCCCTGAAGATGTGAATTACACGAAAGCGCTTGGGAACTTCGTGTTTTCTTCTTTCCTTGTGGTTATCAGCATATACCTAGATCACGCGCACCTACAGTGATTTATTTGCATATATATATATATACAGTATATATATTTATATAGCTAGACCCCGACTTACGACTACATGGCCTTACGTCCATTGGTACTTACGACCTGCTTTGACCGTACGTCCGTCGGGACATACGACCGCGGCAGTCGTGACCAAATATATTTTCAAATGACGCGCGCATTTTCTATACTGAAATGTTTCCGTCCGGGGCGAGTGGGTGGCGCGTCTCGGGTGCCCTCGTGGGTATACTCACTCAGTGGAGCGCTTTGTTTGTGTTTGGCTACCGTATCCTATACTGATC